GAAGGGAAGGGAAGGGAAGGGAAGGGAAGGGAAGGGAAGGGAAGGGAAGAGAAGAGAAGAGAAGAGAAGAGAAGAGAAGAGAAGAGAAGAGAAGAGAAGAAGAGAAGAGAAGAGAATTCTTTATTGGCCAAGTGTAATTGGACACACAAGGAATTTGTCTTAGTGCATAGGCTCTCTTAATCTCGCTATACAGGGCATTAGTCAGGCATCTTTTGGGATACTGTGTCGAGTTCTGTAAACCTCATTTAAAAAAAGACATTGGTAAGATTGAGCGAGTCCAGAGATGGGCAACAGAACGGTGCAAAGTCTGAGGAACAAAACATATCTGGAGAGATTGAGGGAACTGAATATGCACAGTCTGGAAGACAGAAGGTAAAGGGTGCATGTGACTGAAATCTTTAAATATATTAAGGGTGTGAATAAGACTCTAGAAGGCAGCATTTTCAATATTAAAATATTGACGTTTTATTGAAATACTTCAATATTTCAGTTTTCTATGTTTCTAGGCAGCATTTTCAATATTAAAATATTGACATTTTATTGAAATACTTCAATATTTCAGTTTTCTATGTTTCTAGGTTCACTTTTCTCATTCCAGAAACAGGGAGGTTTTGTCTTCTACTACTAAGCTTCTCTTAGTACTGGAGAGACATCAGCTCCACATTCTGAAGGGACAGAAAGCAACAGAGCAACCTTTTGACCAGAGAAAAAGCACAGTTAGGAGGAAAGAGGTAAGGTAAGAAGAGATTCTCCCTGCAATTACGGAGACCATTCTTTTGTGCTGGAATTCTACTATAGCAGAGACTTTGCCGGGTGATGGAACAGGTTGCAATAAAAAGGGCTGTGTATGTACACATGCATGTATTTCTGTTTATATGGCTGCCCATCTCGGCCATGGGCAAATCTGGGCAGCAAACACAAATAAAAACATCAGCATAATAAGAAATATGTAGACGTGTAAAGACCTCATAAATATATTTTGATATCTTTCAGTTCTGGATAGGGTAGCACCCCCCCCCCCCCCCGACAGACCCAGTACACAACTCTCAACTCCTGCTCAAAGAGCAGGTGGCAGTGGTGCCTAGGAGAACTTTTGTGCAACTTCAAGTTGTGTTCCAGTTGTTCCCCTTTCTGGATTGGAAATCCCTGTGCTCAGGCCCTCAGACCCTAGTTATCTCTCGCTTGGACTACTGCAATGTACTCTTCATGGTGTAACCCTTGAAGAGTATTTGGAAGCTACAGCTGGCTCTTAATGGAGCTGCCTGACAGTGCGGGGGGCAGGCTACGCTGGCCCATGTGACACCTCTGTTATATAAATTTCACTGGTTACCCATTTGCTTCCAGGTCCAATTCAAGCAGGGGTGTGATTCAAATTTTTTAACAACCAGTTCGGTGGGCGTGGCTTAGTTGGTGGGCATGGCTTGGTGGTCATGTGACTGGGTGGGCATGGCCAATTCGACATCAGTCACATCGAGGGGCGCTTCTCCTCGTCTGGCCTCTCATGACTGTGGGGATGCTGCAACGGTCGTGTGAAAAATGGACATGTCACCTTTTTCAGTGCCATTGTAACTTTGAATGGTCACTAAATGAACTGTTGTAAGTCAAGAATTACCTGTACAAAAATACAAAAAGCTTCTTTGCTTGCAAAAAGCTGCCCTAAATACCAATCATTAGATTAAAAATACCTGCAAGCCAAAGTTACCTTCAGGAATTAAAATAGTTAAAATGCAATGATACCTATCAGCAGCCAAATTTTGCTCACAAAGTGAAACCCTTTAGCAGAGAGGTCCAGAAAGAGCATACCCAGGAGAAGCAATCCTTAGATCCATTCACACCATGTAAAGATACCAGCTGGTCTCATTCACCTCACAAGATATCCTAAGGAAATCATCCAGATTTAAGGAAAGATCACATGGCCCTCAGAAAGGAAGTAAAAAAATCAGTGCCAAGCTTGCATCCTGCCTCTTGGAAGTACACCCCAAAAGGACAGTGCCAGATACCATTAAAGCAGTGAAGGAAGACCCCCTCCCCAGATTAAAAAAAACATGAGGCAGGAAAAATTCAAACACAATAGAAATAATTAAATCATGACAGTAGCTGTTGCTTGTTAAACCAATTATCAGAACAAATAGACATAGGAACTAGCCAGATTTCTCAACCCAGTTTCTTTTCAGAAACAGAGATTAACCTTTTTCCTTCCAAACAAAGTTGAATAGGGAAAATTATCCCATCAATAAACACAGGATTAAACGTCACCAAGGACAGAATTAAACTTCACCAAAAACCAGTTTTAGACCAAAACTCAGAAAGGGTATGTAAACTCGTTTGAATGTCAATCTTTCTAGCTAGCCAAGAAGCTTTGTTGAATGTCACTCATCTTGGTTCCTTGTCATTGAACGCTTCTTTCCGGCAGCTCTGCTTCGTTATTCAATTATTTCTTCAAAGTCCTAACTCCAACAGTATTTCCTCCCAACAGCAATGTAAAAAGCTTAAAATAATCCTTCCCCTTTAAGAAAGTCAAGCTGTCAGTGAAATGGCTACACATTTGTCAATTTAGGCTCCACACAAACAAAGTACCAGCAAAGGAGAGAGAAACCCCACCCCACCCCCAGAGAAGCTCCAGAGACAGGAAGTCTAGTCCTGCCAAGAATGTAATAAGGGTTAACTGAGAGGCAGTTTTTGTAACAACACCAGAATGTAAGGAATGCCTTCCTTACAGGATTGGGCCTGTAAAGTGAAAAACAAAAAACAAAAGGAGATTTCTTCTAACAACCACTTCTCTGAACTGCTTAGAAAGTTAACAACCAGTTCCAGCGAATAGATGCGAACCGGTAGAATCCCACCCCTGAATTCAAGGTGGTGGTTATCACCTTTATGGTAGGGGTTCAAGTTACCTGAGGATCCTTCTCACCCCATTGGAATTGGCTGATCACCAACGCCAGCAGAAAGGGCATGCTGCAGACCCCATTGACCAAGGAATTTGGGCTGGTGGTGTCCAGGAGATGAGCCTTTTCTGCTACAGCACTCACCCTTTGGAAGCCCACAGTCCTTGGGGTGAGTTCAGCCCCCATCCTTTTGTAAAGATCTTAAAACCTGGCTCGGCCAGTTGGCCTGGGGTCCAGATGGGGGCTTGCAATTCTTTCATTACTGACCCCCCTCTGCTCTAATATTCCCCTGCCCCATCTCTGCTATTTTAGCTATTCCTTGTTAGTTTTATTGTATTTATTGTCTCCTTTTATTGTTTTAATTTTTATGCTACAATCTTATTGCATGGTAAGCCACCCAGGGTCATGCGACAGTGAGATGGGTGATGAATAAATTTAATAAATAAATAAATTAAACAGGAAAGCAAATTAAAATGGAAGCAGGGAAAAATCCATCGGTAATAAATTAATACTTCACTGGCTCAACTAAGCAGATGAGCAAAGGCCCAAGGTGAGTTTGTCCTTGTCAAAGGTGGAAAGTAATGATCTCCTCAGTACTTTGGAGCAGAAACAGCTGCAGCTGCCATTCCAATGCAAAAAAAAGACACTCATGTGTAACATCACAGCACAATCCACACCCTTATGAAACTGCACCGATGTCTGATGCAAACATATCAACTGTACTGTGACATCCTGAAGTCTGTTTAGCACTCCAGCCCCTGCAGATGTTGATGAGAGGATTCCCCACTGCAGACTTCATTACTCCAGCTGCAAAGCCACAATTTATGCCAACCATGTGGAATCCAGCTTAATGCCCTGACCCTGCACTGGTTTTCAAAGCCCTTCATCAGAAGTTAAGTAAAAAGACAGAGCAAAACTAGAAGCACCCAACTACTGTAGCAGTTACAATTATAAATGTCATGACCTCCCCACTCCCCATGTAAGCACTTGTTAGAGCATGTACAATATGACCAGATCAGGGCCTCATCCAGTACAGCATCCTGCTTCTGCAGCAACCAACCAGGTGCTTCTTTTGGGAAGCCTTCTAACGGGAGACTCTGGCTCCCTCAGCTGTTCTCCACAAGGCTGGCACTGTGACCAGAGGCCAGTGCTTTCACTCTTCTTCTAAAGCCAAGTCCTTGGCCATGACTAACCTTCCAAGAGAAAATTAAAACTCCTGTCGTCTCTCTCAAGTTTCCCACTGGAGAACAATTTATCTGGAACGCTAAAGGGATGCATTGCCAAAGACTATCAAACATCTGGTGGTCAGGGTGGCACTTTTCCCATTTCTAGCACTGAGAACTAAAAGAATGAACTGCAATGAATGTAATCTTTACATATTTCAAAGTATTGATCAAACTGTTGCACCCCTTAAATGCAAAGCTTCCTCCCCCAAAACATCTGACTCAAGGGTGGGATACTACCGGTTCGGGATTTACAAGCTTCCCTGCCCGCTGTGAGCCGCGCATCATCATTAGCATGCTGCTTGGCGAGAAGCAGCCTT